TGTGTGTGTGTGTGTGTGTGTGTGTGTGTGTGTGTGTGTGTGTGTGTGTGTGTGTGTGTGTGTGTGTGTGTGGTCTCACAGGCACACTTTCTGCTCCGTTTTTTGGTCTGTTGAAAACACCAGAAAGCAGAAACAGCTTGCAGACAGCACATTGCATTGCTGGTTGCTGTCATTCTTTATTTATTTATTTTATTTTTCCACGTTGGTGCAATAAATCATCGTTAATCATGAACTCTAGCTGCAATTGCAGTTTCACTTTAGAGGGGAGCTTGTTAAAGCTAAATTTAATGCTAACATGCACACAATTACAATGCTCACATRCTCATTGCAAAGGAAAACAGGACTTCAGCCACAGATCCTTTGCACACACAAAATGACACATTACAAACTGCATGATTTGCATGAGACATTTGACTGACAGAATGTGATGATATGATGATAACAGGGAAAATACATGTCGAAGTACATTAAATGAGCTTGAGTAAATGAAAAAAGAAAAAAAAAAACACGTTCGAGTTATATTTGTGTAATATATAAAATACACATATTTCTCCATGGTGAGATGTTAGTGTTTCTACACTGAGACACAGACATGTCCTATTGAAAGTTCATTTTTTTGCCTCTTGTTGTTCAAAAAATCTGTGTCAAAATTTCAGACTTTTTTTATTTATCTATTTTTTTGTAAAATTTATTCATGCAWAAGTGGGGTATCATGATAATATTTAAAGTAATCAATATCTTACCTGTTGAAGATAGCTTTATGACTAGCCTTAGTCTGCAGAAATAGAGTGTAAAGGGTAGTTTGGTCATTTTAAATGTGATCTCATCATATAGTTATCATTAGTTATCAGCTGTGACACCTGTTATAGAGCAGAGTCTGGAGAAAAGGGGCAGAGGTTTTCACTTAGGCTAGGCTAATGGCTAGCCAAGCAAGTGCTCAGTCCATAAAAATCCGCATTGTGACAAAGTTGGTCAGGTGAGAAAGCAATGACAAACTAAACAAACAGTGTCATGCCAATTTGTAGAGGTCTTTTATTAACTAATGTAGCCTATGGAGCACCACTTGTAAGGGTGTCAAACATGGAGTTTTATAGATATTTGTAATTCCAAAAAGTGGCTGCAGAAGCTGTTTTGAATATTGTTTGTGCAAACTGAGGGAACAAGTCTGAGTGGACCTTAAATGYGGATGTTTGTCATCTTCAAGCAACTTTTCAAAATTTCACATAATTTCATGCAAATGCTATTAYACACCATAAATACTACCAATGTTTTTAGTTTTGAGAGTTTTGTGTTACACTGTTATTTTAGTAGAAATAAAATATTCCTGTCAGAAGAGCCTCAGGCGGCACTGAAAGGGATGCTTCTGCTTTTTGTGCCAGCAAAAAAATGTAAGTATACTATCAGTATAATAACAATGTAAAGCAAAATTTCCATGCATATAAAGGGTTATAAAACAGTGTTTGAATCAATT